GCCTCCCAAAGTGCTGGGTTACAGGCTTGAGCCACCGCGCCCGGCCTCTCCCAGCTTTCTTACCTCTCCCATGCTGTTACAAGCCAGCTCTTGCAGTGGCATGTTTGATCTCTGGCGCTTAGCGTTTGTTGTTTCATCATTGTGCAAACAGCCGCCTCTTGACGAACCTTCAGTCACCAGGAAGAAGGTGTGAGAAGTGTGGCTGCACCCCACTTTGGGACATGTTCGATTCCCCCAACATCCTTGGGACTTCCAGGGTTCCTTCATGTGCTTCCAGTTGGAAGCAAACACTCATTTTTGCTTTTGAAAATTATTTCCCTAGCCATCGACGAGTACAAGCCCCAGGATGCTACCACCAACCCATCCCTGATCCTGGCTGCAGCGCAGATGCCCACTTACCAGGAGCTGGTGGAGGAGGCGATTGCCTATGGCCGGAAGCTGGGCGGGTGAGTGCCTCAGGCTCGGGGTTGGGGGAGGGAGTCCCAGCTAGGCCCTCATGCTAGTCTGGTTGGCCTTGTTTCCCTCCCTAAACTTAATTTTAGTTCTCAAACACCATGAACTCAAGGGGGGAAAAACTGTCTTTTTGAAATGAAATCTGCATGGAGTAACCTGCACCCAATGTAAGTGAGCAGTCTTACCAATATGTGCCCCTGTAAACACCACCCCCGTCAGGACACAGAGCACCTGCAGACCCGGAGGCCCCCCTCCCGTTTTGTAGTCAGCCTCCCCAGCTGGTAACACGTATCTTCTGCCTGTCATTTTTTTTTTTTTTTTTTTATATTTGTTTGATGGAGGCAGTCTTGCTTTGTCATCCAGGCTAGAGTGTAGTGGAGCAGTCTTGGCTCACTGCAGCTTCCACCTCCCCAGTTCAAGCAATTCTCCTGCCTCAGCCTCCCAGTTAGCTGGGATTACAGGTGTGCGCCACTACTCCTGGCTAATTATTGGGGTGTTTGTTTTTTTGTTTCTTTTTTTTGAATTATTTATTCATTCGTTAATATTTATTTATTTATTTATTTTTTGAGACGGAGTTTCGCTCTTGTTACCCAGGCTGGAGTGCAATGGTGCGATCTCGGCTCACCGCAACCTCCGCCTCTTGGGTTCAGGCAATTCTCCTGCCTCAGCCTCCTGAGTAGCTGGGATTATAGGCACGCGCCACCATGCCCAGCTGATTTTTTGTATTTTTAGTAGAGACGGGGTTTCACCATGTTGACCAGGATGGTCTTGATCTCTTGACCTTGTGATCCACCCGCCTCGGCCTCCCAAAGTGCTGGGATTACAGGCTTGAGCCACCGCGCCCAGCCTGTTTTTTTGTTTCTTGAGATGGAGTTTTGCTTTTGTTGCCCAGGGTGGAGTGCAGTGGCGTATCAGCTCACTGCAACCTCTGCCTCCCGGGTTCAAGAGATTCTCCTGCTTCAGCCTGCTGAGTAGCTGGGATTACAGGCATGTGCCACCACACCCGACTGTAATTTTTGTATTTTTAGCAGAGATGGGGTTTCACCATGTTGGCCAGGCGGCAGGTCTCATAAAGTGCTGGGATTACAGACGTGAGTCACTGCACCTGGCTTTTTCATTTTTTAATAGCTTTATTGATATAAAATACACTAAGTACACAGCCTGATGGGTTTTGGTAAATTTGTGCAATGATGCAGCATCATCACAGTCTGGTTTTTATAACTCCCAGAATGTTCTCTGGCACCTGTTTGCAGTAGGTCTTCAGTCCCTTACCCAAGCAAGCAACTGTAGACCACTCTTCATGCCCATGGCTTTGCATATTTTAGATGTCATTTTAGATTCTCTTCAAGGTAATTCACAGCTGGAAGATGGTGGCGAGCAGGCAGCTTGGGCACCACACAGGACAGGTCCCTCTCTGGTACTGGCTTTGCTTAGGTCTAGCTGGCTGGTGAGTGACTCCCCTGACCATTGGTGACAGCCACTCTGGATGCTGAGTCTGACCCTCCCCTCTCTTATCTAAGCTGGCTCCCCTTTCCTCCTCTCATGGGAGTGTTGTGCCCCTGTGGCATCAGCAAGGCCTAAGGCCTTGGTGCTCCTGGTATTGGGTGACATTGGTACCTTTGCTTGGCTGGGTGATCAACAGATGAGCTCTGCCCTCATGTCCAGGTGGCCCAAGAATTTTTTTTTTTTTTTTTTTGAGATAGAGTCTAGCTCTGTCACCCAGGCTGGAGTGCAGGGTCGAAATCTCAGCTCACTGCAGCCTCTACCTCCTGGGTTCAAGCCATCCTCCCCCCTCAGCCTCCCAAGTAGCTGGGACTACAGGTACATACCACCAGCCTGGCTAATTTTTGTATTTTGTGGTAGAGGCAGGATTTCGCCATGTTGCCCTGGTTTCAAACTGCTGAGCTTAAGGCCTGCCAAAGTGCTGGGATTACAGGCATGTGCCTGATTATAGGCTTGAGCCACTGCACCTGGTCTGGCCCAAGAATTCTAACCCTTGATGGTCTAGCTGAAGATCTTCCTGTGTGTAGTGGGCTAATGAGGCCGCTTAGGTAGTGGCTCATTTTGGAACAGCATCATGGGCTTCACCTGGTGTCTGTCCAGTGACTTTCAAGAGATGGAAAATAGAATATTTTGCAAATGCCAAAAGATGGAGGGATGCAGTTTGCGATGATGAAGAGAGCTCTGGAGATGGTGATGGTTGAACAGAATTGTGAATGAGCTTAATACCACTACACGTAAAAATGATGGGCTGTGGGCAGTGGCTCATGCCTGTAACCCCAGTGCTTTGGAAGACCGAGATGGGAGGTTCCCTTCAGCCTAGGAGTTGGAGAACAGCTGGGCATGGAGGCGTGCACCTGTAGTCCCAGCTACTTGGGAGGCTGTGGCGGGAGGATCACTTGAGCCTGGGAGGTGAAGGCTGCAGTGAGCCGTAATCACACTGCACTCCAGCCTGAGCGACCCTGTCTTGGCGGGGGGAAAAATGGTTAAGATGGAAATTTTATGTTATATGTTATTTTACCACAATAGAAAAAAAAGTTTTAACAGAAAAAAAGATGGAGGGAAAGAAATTTGGCAACGAAATAACAGAATTTGGCCGGGCACGGTGGCTCATTCCTGTAATCCCAGCACTTTGAGAGGTTGAGGCAGTCGGATCACCTGAGGTCAGGAGTTCGAGACCAGCCTAACCAAAAAGAAATAATAGAATTCATTTTGTAGACTCTTTGCACTTAAATCTCAGAAGCTTCTGACCGATGTTTTTCCCTTTGAATTTCAGGTCACAAGAGGACCAGATTAAAAATGCTATTGATAAACTTTTTGTGTTGTTTGGAGCAGAAATACTAAAGAAGATTCCAGGCCGAGTATCCACAGAAGTAGACGCAAGGTAAGTATGCTTGCTCCTGTGTAGGGTCAAGCCCTACAGGGTTGTGGGGTGTCCCCTGTCGCTGTGCTGAGGTGCCGGATCCGAGAAGTAAAGAGACAAGACACCGAAGGACTGGAAAAGACAGCTGGGCTCGGGGGACCACGCCACCTACAAGCGGAGACAGGCGAGGCCCTGAACATGCAGGAGCATCTGTATTTATTGGGTGTAGGTCAGGGGGCAGGGTAGTGAGTGAGGTCATCTTAAGAACAGTCATAGCGTCAAGACAATCATGTATGCGGTAAGCAAAGGGTCCACCCCCATTAGGTCACCGAGGCAAGGAGGTGGGCCGTCCGCAGTGAAGAGGGTGCAGTGTGCGATATCTCGTATCTAGGGGCAGGCTACTTCTAAGGAATTCTATAGGCGGATGCTTTGAGTCAGCACAGTAGCTGAAGAGCTGACGGAATACAGCCACCTGCTGGCAGCTTCCAATGATTTCTATTGGAGGATGCTTTGAGTCAGTACGTAGCAACAGAGCTGACAGCGTTCACAGCCACCAAGGCGCGATTGTACTGGAGGGGTTTTAAAGTCTCGGATGCTCAAGGGCTTGCTAACCTGAGGCCGGCTTCCACAAGAACCGATGCAAGGTACTGCAACTCCCTTTGAGGAGGAGTGACTCCTGCATCATGCCTGCCATACAGCGGGTGTCTTTA